CCAGGCGGTCGACGCGCCCGCCGCCGCGCCCGCGCCCGCCGCCGTCGTCGCCGCCGAGGCGCCGGCGCCGGCGCCGCCGGCGCCGGCGCCCGTCGTCGTCGCCGAGGCCGTCGAGGAGGCGAAGGTCGAGGCGGCGCCCGCGGCCGCGCCCGCGGCCGCCGAGGAGGCAAAAGAGGACGCGCCCGCGGAGGAGGACCTGCTCGAGAGCGTCGCGAGCGACGACGAGGCGCCGCCGCCGCCCGCGCCGGCGCCCGCCGAGGACCGGCCGGCGACCGCGCGGTCCGCGCGGCTCACGGAGGAGAACCTCAAGCTCCTCGAGGAGGACGCGGGCGACGAGGCGACCGCGCTCGCGGACCGCTGCGTCAAGCTCACCTGGGAGTCGAAGAAGGTCGGCCCCAAGACCGAGGCCGGCGCGCTCGCGGCGCTCCGGGCCGTCGGCGTCGGCGACTGCGTCAAGGTCGTCGTCCGCGCCAAGTCCGCGGTGCTCATGTTCGCGTCGGGCGCGTCCGCGGCGAGGGCCGCCGCGGCCGTCGACGGCGCGACGGCCAAGGCCGACGGCTACGACCTGTCCAAGTGGCACGCGAGCGTCGCGTCGAAGACGTTGGCGCCGCCGCCGGCCGCGGCGCCGCCGGCCGCCGCGCCGGCGCCCGCGGCGGCGCCCGCGGCCGACGTCGAGGAGACGCCCGTCGGCGCCTTCGAGGCGCCCGCGGGCGACGACGACGACGACGACGACGAGGCGCCGCCACCGGACGCGGCGCCGCCCGCGGCCGCCGCGGCGCGCGAGCGGCGGAAGGAGGCGCTCGCCAAGGAGCAGGACGACCACGAGGCCGCGGCGCCGCCGCCGCTCCACGAGCGCTGCGTCAAGCTCAGCTACGCCAAGGGCGCGCGGCCCAAGACCGAGGCCGCGCTCGCCGCCGCGCTCGCGGCCGCGGGCGCGCCGCCGGCCGTCGCGACGAAGCTCAAGGACCGGTCCGCGGTGCTCATGTTCACGACGCCCGGCGACGCGCGCGCCGCCGTCGCCGCCGTCGAAGGCGCGCCCCAGCTCAAGTACGCGGCGGCCCTCGTCGACGCGCCCAAGGCCGCGCCGTGACTTCCCCGAACACACGGGAGCGTCCCCTTCGTAAGGCGCGCGCTACATGACGGCGCAGTCGTCGCCGGCCGCCTTGGACGCGGAGGGCGCGCCGCCCATGCCCATGGAGCAGCCCACGGCGTCGGCCTGCTCGTCGCCGCCGTCGCAGACGAGGTCCACGAGCGCGCGGATGCGCGCGAAGACGCGCTTGAGCACGCGCTTCTCCGCCTCCTCCATGCCCAGGTCCTCGAGGTCCGCGTCGTGGAGGTAGACGAGGTCGAAGACCTTCTTCGCGCCCATCTCCCGGAGCTTGGGCGCGTACTCGCCGCTGAGGCCGAGGTCGCTGAGGAAGTACTCGAGGCGCGCGGCCTCGGAGCCCGGCGCGGGCCGCGGCCGGAGGTCGACGGCCGCGTCGACGTCGACGCGCGGCGCCTCGTCGCGCGCGCGGAGCGCGTCGACGCGCAGCGTCTCGAGCTCGTGCTTGAGCAGGCCCGCCTCGGCCATGCACGACGCGAGGCTCTCGAGGCTCTTCGCGCGCTGCTCCTCGGCCCACCGCGCCCGCGCCTCCGCGTCCTCCGCGCGGTCCTCGGCCGCGGCGACGGCGTCGCGCTGCTCCGCCGCGTCGTCCTCCAACTCGCGCACGTGCTCGAGCAAGGCGTCGCGCTCGCGCTGGAGCATCGCGCGCTCCTCCTCGACGATGCGGTGCGCCGCCGTCGCCACCTTGTCCTCCTCGGCTTTCTTCTCGAGCCGCTCGAGGATCTTCTTCTGCCAGTCCTCCTCCTCCGCGAGCCGCGCCTTGAGCTGCGCGACCTCACCCTCCGCCATCGCGCGCGGCGCGGCTGTGTGGCGCGGCGGTGTAATTCGACGGCTTCGCGGTGCGACGACAGATGCGCGGCGCGCGGCTTGCGGTGCGGCGCCAACGACGACAGAATCTGATGTGCGGCGCGCGAGGCGAATGCGATCCTGGGGCAGCCTGCTAGGCTGTGATTGACAGCAACATTGCACTTCGCCGAACTCCAGC